ACACCGGGGCCAAAACACAGGGAGGGCCTGATTTCACCCTGTTCACGAACCCAGCATTGTTCCTGAGGTCTCATCTGAGTCACCCTCTCCCCTGCCCCTCTCCCCTGGCTTCTCCCTGGCTCACATTGGCTTCTGTGCCAAGGGCTGAGTGCTGGCCCCGCGCGCACAGCCCCAGGCCTCCCAACAGATCCTGAGGGGGTGTCAGGGCTCCGTGTACTGCAGAGAGACCAGAGGAGGCAGACAAGGACCCCGACACCTTGACGCCTTCCCAGCATGGCGAGGGCGCAGCCTGGGTCTGGACTAGGGCAGGGGTTTCATGAGCTGCAGCAGAGGCAGAAGGAGCCAAGCTGCCCTCTGCCCCCAGACTCCTAATAAAGGGCAGTGCGGATCATCCATCACCGACACCCCATGCAGCACCCATGGGGTGCCAGCCACCACAGGCAGAGAGCATTCCATCTCCATGTCCCCCATGTCCCCAGTGCAAGGCTGTGGGCACCCGCAGGGGAGCACGGCCACTAAAGCTGCCTGGGGTGCCAGGAAGTCAATTGTGGGGTGCTTGGCTAATGGCCTCCCAGGCACTCACTGAACATGGTCCTGGGAAGTAGAGAACAAGGGAAGTAGGGAACACTCACATTTGTCACCCCGCAAGCAACTGTCATTCTCTCTTCATTAGAAACACATTTTCAAACTCGCACAGCTCCGAATTCTTTTAATTTCCCTTAATGGGCTCTAGGACCTGCTTTATTTGTCACTAGGGGGGGCTAAAACAGCCAGCAGCTTCCTAATCTCCTCTCTTTCTAGTCAACGGTGATTAAAGCTGGTAGATTTACAGGAAAGGTAAAAACCTACATTCTACAGTATGCGTTTCATTCTTTAGAAATCACTGATAAAGACTGGGGGGTGTGGCTCAGGTGGAAGAGCACTTGCCTGGCCTGTGCAAGGTCTGGAGTTCAACCCCCAGAGCCATAAACAGAATGTAAAAAATAGCAAAGAACCAAAAGTTTCAAGATACTTTTTTTGGTGTGTGTGTGTGTGTGTGTGTGTGTGTGTGTGTGTGTGTGTATGTGTGCAGTACTAGGACTTGAACACAGGGCTTGGGCTCATTGGCTGGCTAGCTTGTTCCTGGTCCTCTACCATTTGAACCATTCCTTCAGCCCAGAATTTTGCTACTTAATGGGAGATGTGAGTCTTGTAGATTTTTTTCTCCCAATCTGGCTTTGAACTTAGACTCTATAGGTCTCAGCTTCCCGAGTAGCTGGTGATACAGGTATGAGCCACTGGTACATGGCTTACAATACTTTGCTGTCTTCCAAAGCAATGTGGACAGCAAAAGCAGCAGGGTTTATTCCATGTCTGTCTCTTCTCTTTCTAGGAAAAGATAGTCAAACACCAAAGTTCTAGATGTTGATACTGCTGACTGGCAACTGGAAGCCAACCCCCATTGGATGTGGGAACAAGGTAACCCTGGCATCCTTTTCAGAGAGAGAGAGAGAGAACCAATAAGGTTGTACACACACACACACACACACACACACACACACACACACACACACATCTGTCTCTGCCTCTCTCTCTCTCAGTATTGGGGATGGAACCTAGGGCCTCATGCATGTCAGGCAGGCACACACTGCATCACTCAGTTATACCCCAAGGCTGATCTTATTGCTGGACTAATATTTCCTGTGTCTCAGAACTTGGTGAGTAGGTGTGCCTTGGCAGCTGGTGCTGAGGCAGAGAGGGACAAGACAGCATGGTTCATGCTCAGGGTTCATGCACGGCTACTACTGGGAGAAAGCTGCCAGCAACAGGCTCAGTAAGCACCAGGCAGACGGCATCGAGAATACTGCCAAAGATGTGAAAGGAGATTCAGGCCAATTCCTGGGGAGGAAAGAGGCACAGAATGGAGGTGTCAGGATCCCTAAATCAGTTCGTAATTGAGTTCACATTCCATCAAAACCCAAGAAGAATTGCTTTTTTGAGCACTTGCCAAAATGACTGCAAACCTTGTAGGATGGCAGGAACATGTGGGAAAATGAGAGAAGAGTAAGAGAAGTTGCACTGAAGGCAAGCCACCAGTGTGGTGTGAGCTGGGCACAGAGAAAGGCTTTGTGTCACTGGGAGGGATGGGGGAGAATGATCGAGGTCTTGAATACCAGCACACATGCACACACCCACACCTGAGACATCACAAAGAAACCATCAATCCATGGATGGTAAGGGAGGAAAAGTCTCTGGAAAAAATCGATTTAGAAGCTTACTTTATACGTGGTGCCAAAGTAAGTTACAGCTGGATTAAAGATTTTTGAGACATCATCTTACTATGTAGCCCTTGCTCCTCAGGATGGAGATAATGAGCCAAGTTGATGCAGCCAGGGAGCTACTGGACTGGGTTGGGTCTTGTAAACCCAGACAAAAGGCAACATGGGCGATGGAGGAGGTGCTGTTGGTCAAGACACATTATACTTACAGACTGATTTGTGGAGTGGCAATTCCTCTGTACAACTACTTAAAGGTAATAAAAATACAATGGAAAAAAGCAACTTGGACTATTCCTCTATAAATTTCTATATTCAAAAATAAAAAAAAGCAGGCTGGGAATGTGGCTTAGCGGTAGAGTGCTTGCCTTGCATGCATGAAGCCCTGGGTTTGATTCCTCAGTACCACATGCACAGAAAAAGCCAGAAATGGCACTGTGGCTCAAGTGGTAGAGTGCTAGTCTTGAGCAAAAGAAGCTCAGGGACAGTGCCCAGGCCCAGAGTTCAAGCCCCAGGACTGGCAAAACAAACAAACAAACAACAATAAAACCAACCACATTTACATTCAGCCATTCAGAAGCTACCATCTAACCCAGTGTTATCCATCTTGAGGCTTTCCCAGCAAATTCAGCAGCAAATACAGTGACAGCCAATGGCAGCCAATAAGCCCTTTCCTTACATTGCTTCCTGCTTCGCCTTTGGTCCAGGGAGGGGTGACATCAGTCCTGGCTTTGGGAACCTCAGGGCATTGGCCACAGCATGTGGCCTGGAGATAGGCATGCTGCAAAAGGCTAGCTGGAGACAAACACAGCAGACAGTGCAGGAGGAAGGGCGTGCTCTGCTGCCAGGAGCTACAGGATACTGGTTAAGAGTCCCTACTGAGGGACTGGAGGCATGGCTCAGGTGGGTAGAATGCCAACCAATGAGTCAAAGCATCAGATACTGAGTGTGAGTCCCTATCTTGGACCAAAAAAAAAAAAAGAGCTTCTATTGAGAGGAAAGTGGAGCCAAGAGGCAGCCTGTTTGGGTGCTGGATGCAGCCCATACCTGAAACTGTGTCCAAGTTCTTCCACTTTTCTGTGACAGTAGAATAGTGGTTTGGATACTGTTTAAGTGTGTCTTCCCCTGCTCCCTGCCCTCCACCAAAGGTGATGTGAGAGAAATGGGCCTTTAAGTGGGGCCTCTAATGGAGAGAATCTGGAGGCCATGTCCTTGGATGAGATGGTGGTTCTGCGAGATCTGAACTGTTCCCTTGGGATGGAGTCATCATAAAACAGCAGGTCCAGCCTCTCCCCAGCCTCGCTGTCCTCTTTCAGCCTGTCCCTGTGAATTATCTCCAAGACAGGGGCAGAGACAGTCCAGAGCCAGCCCCCTCTCCCATGCACAACCTGGTGCAAGCACTTCGCTGAACATCATCTGGTGCAAGGAGCTACCACAAGGCTGGCGCAATTCTGCAGGCTAGGACGGGGCTTCTGCCCCCTTGCAGGGCAATTCCTGATCCAGGTCTTACTGACACTGATTTGTGATACCTGTGCTCAGAAATCTGCCATGGCGACAAACTCTTACATTAATGCAAATTTCTCATGGATGCTAAGCAGCTAAGCACTTTTTTTTTGGGGGGGGAGGAGGGGCTCTTGAACTCAGAGCCTAGGTGCTGTTCCTGAGCTTTTTTACTCAAGGCTACCTCTCTACCACTTGAGTCACAGTGCCATTTCTGGCTTTTTTGGTGGTTTATTGGATAAGAGTCTCATGGATTTTCCTGTCTGGACTGGCTTTAAACTGATATCCTCGGATTTCAGCCTCCTGAGTGGCTTGAATCACAGGTGTGAGCTACTGATGCCCAGCTGCATTTCTATTTTATTTGGGGGCAGAGGACACCCAGAGATCACAGCTCTGTGTATCTGGTCATTTCTAGCTCAGCTCCGGGGACTTGTTCCCTCATTCAAACACCAGTGGGAGCAGGCCCAGCCCAGGCGCCTTCTAGAAACTCATCTTGTAGGCAGGACAGATGAGTCATTAGTAGAGTTGGAGTAAGAGCACAGGCTCACAGATCTCCCTACTATAACGCAGCACATCAAGGTTGGAGTTCAGAGTGATTAAGTGACTTGCTCAGGTCACACGGCCTGTGAAGGCAGAGCCAGCTCTCAGATTCACAAGCTGACTTACAAAAATCACAGCTAAATCACTTTCCTCACTGAACTGGTTAGAGCGATGCTGGATTATAGATGTGCACCACTAGGCCTGGCCTTAACTCATGTCCTTTCAGCACAGCTGGAAGGTCCAAGACTGGCCCCATCCCAGGGTACTAGTTTGCAGCAGGGACTTTGGAACTTCCATTTGCAGGCAGGACACGAGGCTCAGGCAGGCAATTCAGAACAAGTATCTGCCCCGCTAGATACAATTCTCAGCTGATTGAATGCCATCACTCCTGCAGGGTTGAGTCCTTCTGGTGCAGAAAGTCATTTCACCACTCTGAACTCCAGCCTTGAAGTGCTGTGTTATAGTAGGGAGATCTGTGAACTTGTGCTCTCATTCTGACTCTACTAATGACTCATCTGTCCTGCTTACAAGGCAGGCAAATCCAGGGAGCACAAAGGCTGGCAGATTTAACGGCTCCCTTCTGCCCCCCATGGGGCCACCACCAACAGCAGCTGGCTATCTGAGGGGCTGGACACAGCACTCTGGGCCATCCCAGTGGGGCGCTCCTGGGCCATGGGGGCCATGGAGGGTCTGCAGGGAACTCACCAGCCTCACCGACAAAGACTTCGACAGGCGCACTGGCTGGGCTCTCACCGATGATGTTATAGGCAGTCATGATCACTTCATAGCGGCGATACTTTTTCAGATCTATAAGGTCAAAGGAATGGGGGTCAGAATGCAGCAGGACCACCATCCATACATGGAAAGTCCTCCCCCTCCCTCCCACTGTGGGACGTGCCAGAGAATCACCCAGATGTCTCAGAGGCAGGGGAAGAGTCTGTGCTGCTGGCCCTGGTGTGGCTTAGGCCCTGTTCTAGGGGCCATTCTCCTGCTGCTGTCAATCAAGCGAGCAGCCCCATCCACTGTCAGCAGGTGAAGGGCACATGGGGTGGCCTTCTGCTGGGAAGAGTTGGGTTAGCCGGCCACCACAACAGGCCTACCTTTCTCCTAACAAGTGCCAAGAGATGGAAGAGCAAAGTAAAGGCCCTCCCCTTTTTGGACTGACCATCTCCACCTAGGCAAATGTGTGAAGCCCTGAGAGATGGGGGGTTCATAAAGACAGATAACAAAATGGCAGGAGCTAGGGGCTAGGGTGAGGGAATGGGGAGTCCACGTTTAGTGAGGAGTCTGTGTTTAGCGGGGAGTGCTTCTATTTAGAAGGATGGAACAATTCTGGAGTTGGGTGGTGGAAAGGGAAGCATCATCTTAAAAATGGTTAAGATGGTATATTTTATGATATGTCTTTTTTTAAAAACCACAATCAATAATACTAAAAGGCTGTGCACCAGCACGGCTGACAGTGTAATCCCAGCTGCTCAGGAGGCTGAGACCTGGAGGATAGAGGTATGAAGCCAGCCTGTGAGATTCCATCTCTAATTTACTCAGCAAAATGCTGGGCTAGAGATGTGGCTCAAGTGGTAGAATGCCAGACATGAACAAAAGGATATATATGAGAAAAGAAAGGTAGAAGGGAGACTGAGGCTGGGGGACCAGATGCCAGTACCACAAACTCCTCCAGACCCCCACTTCTAGAAGTTTCCTTTCCTGCCCTCTGAAGGCTTTGGCATGAGGAAAAGCAGCAGTTGAGAAAGAGAACTCCTGAAATGGGAGCCATTAATCCAGGCTGGTTTTTCTTGGTCCATGGGGAGGCCAATTGGCAGGCGGTGATGCCAGGGCGCGGAGGCCTCCTGCGGAAGGCGTGCACACTTACGTGTTAATTCATACGTGGTTAATGTAGAGCTGCTGTTCACGGTCTTGAAGCTGCTTTGGGCTGTTAGGGTAAGCAAAGCAGAAAGGTGGTTAGCAAGCAGGAGGAGCAGTTACAGCAAATGAGGCACAACAAAAAGGAAGGGGTACGGCCTCATTGCGGGAGGGGGGCATTCAGGCTCCCACGCAGCACCACCTCAGGGGTGCCCATACCCTTCCCATGGGTTCCTGGGGGACAGGTGCTTCTTTCTAGAACAGCAAGCCCAGACCAGTGGGGTAGGGGGTGGCTGGCGTGTGATAGGACGGGACTCCGGTAAGGTGTGTGGTATGCCCAGGTGCCAGGCAGCACTGGGGAGGGTGGGATGAGGTTTCTCCTGGGTGCTTCAGGCAGAGGGGATGAGCATCCCTCCACAAGAGGGGAGAGGTTGTCTGCTCTTGGGCAAAGGACACCCTCAGGGTGGTGGCAGCTGAGTGACCCTTCCCTTTCTCTTTCTCCTTTCCTTCCTTTCTTTTTCCCTTTCCCTCTCCTTCTTTCTTTTTCTTCCTTCTTCCCTCCCTCCTTTCCTTTGTTTCTGTGCCAGGGCTTGAAATCAGGGCCTGGCTGCTGTCCCTTAGGTTTTTCACTCAAGGTTGGCACTCTACTTCTTAAGCTACAGCTCCACTTGGGTTTCCCCCCTAGTTATTTGGGGATAAGAGTTGCATGAACTTTTCTGCCCAGGCTGGCTTTGAACCATGACCCACAGATCTCAGGCTCCTGTGTAGTAGGTATGAGCCATCAGTTGTCTCTGGCTGTTTCTGGGAAGTAGAGACAAAAAGAAGCTTCCCTCTCCCTGTCCCCAGCCTGAGGATGTCAAGGGCAAGGAGCACATCCTGCAACACTGTTGGGGGGCGGGAGAGGTGGGAGACGGGGGGGGGCAGATAGCAGGCCTCTTCCCTCCTTCCAGAAAGAGGAAACTGGGGAGAGGGTCTTTCTGTAGCTCCCAAAGCTGCCTAGGCCACAGCAGCTGGCACTGCTCGGGCTGTGTCATTAGTAGCAAGGCACAGGCCTGGCACAGATCAGCTCAGGGATGAAAGATGTCCCCAGCCACAGGTTGAGTCTGCCGTGGGCTTCATGGGTGTCTAATATGGGCCCCAGGCCATTCTCACAGGTGCAGCAGTATGTCCACCTGCTCCTCCCTCAGTGCTCAGGCCTTGCTGCCAATACCATACCAGGCTGTGTGCTCCCTGTCTCTCCACAGCTGGCCCCCCATGCTCCACATGGGTTGGACAGATGTATGCTCCATGCTGCCTGCAGCAGGAGGAGGCCAAGAGGGATGGGGATCTGCTCACCTGTGAGCTCAGCTCGCAGGGCTGAGGGGCTCTTGAGGGTCTTGGCCTCAGGGCCTGCAGCTGCCTCAGCCTCCAGCTCTCGGTAGTAGATCCTGTATCCCTGCAGAAGGCCATTCAGGCTCTCGTCCCGGGGCGGCTGCAAAGACACCACACTCAGCCATGCCTGAAAATAAGTTGGTCCTGCATCTGGGAGCTTGGTGTCTGCTGCCCTGATTTAACCACCAACCTGGAGGGACAGTCACTAGTTCAAGTCCATGCCTGTTAAAAGCCAACTGGACACTGCCCCCAAAGACATGTACTCATTAGCTGATTTATGTAATTGTAACCTCTCTATACATTACTTGCCTTGCATGCATGAGGCCCTGGGTTCGATTCCTCAGCACCACATAAGCAGAAAAAGCTGGAAGTGGGGCTGTGGCTCAAGTGGTAGAGTGCTCACCTTGAGCTGAAGAGCTGAGGGACAGTGTCCAGGCCCAGAGTTCAGGCCCCATGACTGACAAAAAACACAAAAACAAAAAACAAAAACAAACCCCCCCACACCCGCCCCCAGAAGGCACAATGTCTATGTGCATCTTGATCATATAAAATGTTTACCGAAATACACTCCAGGAAATGGAAACAAGAGGTTTTATTCCCCTCTCTGGTTGTTGTTTTTGTTTTCATTTTGTCTTGTTTGTTCATTTATTTATCTTTGGGATGGAAATAGAGGGAAAAAGGGTGATCAAATGCAGCAGTAATACTAACTGGACACTATGTTGAAAATGAACTATACATCTTGTGGGAATGGGAGGAAAAAACTGGAAGAAAGTGAAAGAAGCGGTGACATTGTCTAAAAAAGAAATGTACCCATTACCTGACTTATGTAATTGTAACCCCTCTGAACATCACCTCTATAATAACAATTAAAAAAACGAACGAGCTGGGGGAGTAGCCAGGCAGCACATCTGGCTGTGCCTCCCAGCTGCAGCTGAACTCGCTCTAGTCTGCTCAAGCTTTGGGTCTGCTCGGATGACGCAGACCCTGTGGACAGCTCTAGCCCTGCCCTCCCTGATCCTGTATGCTGGCAGGCCAGGGTGACAGCCTGGCTCTGGTAGAAAGGGGCGATAGCTCTGCTCCTGTTTCTGAGATCGGGGTGGACTAGAATTGGCAAGAAGGGAAGGGGGAGTGGGCAGATGAAAAGCCTGTCTCTGGGCTTCTTTAATTGTCAGCCCAGCAATCGCAATCTGAGGGGCACCATCAAGCTTGCTTCACAGTCCACAGTCCAAGGTTTAACCACAGCAGCACAGGCCCTTGTGCCCAGTAGGGAGCTCACGGGGACCAGCCCATTCTGCAGACACTGATCCATGGGCTGGGGACACAGGAAGTGTGGGGGCGGGGAGAACTCCATCCTACTCAGCAAAAATATCCAAGGAGGCTGGGCACTGGTAGCTCACCCTAAAATCCTAGTTATTCGGGAGGCTGAAACCTGAGGATCACCGTTCAAAGCCAGCCATGGCAGGAATGTCTGTAAGACTCTTACCTCCAATTAACAACCAGAAAACCAGAAGTGGCACTGTGGCTCAAGTGGTGGAGCACTTGCCTTGAGCTGAAGAGCACAGGGACAGTGCCCAGGCTCAGAGTTCAAGCCCCATGATCACCACCACCAACAAAAATCCACAGGGCAGGAAGTGGAGAGGATGGGAAATGAAATGTTTTCACTCGGGACCAAATGTTCTGCAGCTGGCAGCAGCCACACTGCCCAGGGTCCTTGTGTAATGAAGTCCCCAGGCTGGCTGCGGAGGGGCTGAGAGCCACTGACCTTGAACTTGAAATGGTTCTAGCCACGGATATAGGATGCTTGGTAGGCACACAAAGCAGGGGTCAAACCACTAGCACCTGTATTCAACAGCCACTGGGCACTGGGCACAGATGACAGAAGGGAAGGGAGTCACGTTCAGATCTCAGGGGACAGCCATGGCCACCATGGCCTAAGCTTATACTCCCAGGACTTCACTTCCTGGAGAAGGGAGCTGCATTTCCCCAGAGGTGAAATCCTTCTGGAACCCAGGTGGCATATATGCCTTCTCCTGAAACACAGCAGCTTCATGCCTCTCCACCTGTGCCCTCCCTGGCATCTCGGGAAGTGCCTCTACACTGCAAAATGCCTTCAGCTGTCCCTCTGGCCACAGCCAGTGTCCCCTACATAGGCCTTCCTAAAAAGCCAGATGGAGCCCATGGCACTGAATGGAGGAAGCCCCGCCCCTTCTGCCTGGGCAGAGGTGACACTCTAGTGAGGAAGGTGCCCAAAACCACGTGGAGTGCATCCTCAGCTGACAGCTCTGGGCAGGAAGTGATGCATTGCTCACACTTCTTTCTTTCTTTCTTTTTGCTAGAAAACAACTTCCAAATCCACTTAGAGGAACCTGAGCAGGGCTTGGGGACGTGAGTGGCAGATGGATGGCTCGCTGCAAGGCATAGAAGAGCCAGCTTCCATGTTGTGATCAAGTCAGAACGTCCCCAGGTTGTTCACGAGTAGTGCTTGGCGTGAGCACAATGATCACCATCCCCACCCCCCACATCCCCGATTTCAAACAGAACTGGACGCCTGGAAAGGCAAAGATTGATTCTCCCAGTAGGAAGGATCCAACCTGACAGCTTCTTATCGGAAGGCTTCTAAGTGGGCCTGCTGCCTGTGTTTGTATTTTTAAGCAAATCGCTAAAAAAAGAAAAGGAAAAAAACCCCCGCAAAACCTTCAAACCTGCCCCCCCCAACCCAAAAGGTTACAGGTGAAACATTTCATTTGGAATGCAAATCTAGATCTGAACCTACTTTCTCTTCCTTTGTTCTGTTCACTCTGATTTACTAAATTACTCATAATTTTAATTGTACTTCAACTGCCTGGCAGTTGACAGGCATTTATTTCTACAATACGTGGTATTGACCACCCCCTGCTCTGGGCTTCTTGGCAATTAGTTTGTTCTGTTCAGCTCTGGAGAGGACAGCTGATGGACACATATGCCAAGTTCCTCTGGTGCGGATCCATGCTGTGTCCCAGAGCTGTCTGGCAGTCTCAGAGGGGCCGTGTTGGGAGACAGGGCATGGGGGCTGCCAGTTAGTGGTCACAGCCACTTGTTTGGAGATGGCGTGGCCCAGCTGGGGCCCTCACAGCCTTTGGTGTAGGAGCCAGTGTGCCTAGTTACTGGCAAGCCAATTGTCATGTCGACAGAAATGCTAATTTTCTCCTAGAATGTGACAAAGGACCATCTTCCTGGGGCTAATTATGTTGGCAGTGGATGGGAAGCCAAGTGCTGGGGACCTTGAACTTCTTCTTTGAATGCACAGCCCCTAACAGGAGTCAGGACTCCAAAGCACAGCCACCCCGAAAGCAGGGAGTGTGGGGTCTATCAGATGTGAAGATGTTTCTAGAGGAGGGACTAGAAGTCAGAGAGACTTAGAGTCTTAGTGGCCTGGTGGCAAGTGGGGGAGGCAGGGGCCGGGGCAGGACTTTTGCCACTTTACCAGGGGCAGCAGGTCCTAGGAGACATTTGGGGATGTGTCCATGTCACTCTGAAAGGGTCCTGTCTTCTCCAGAGACAGTGTCACTAAGCAGAGAGGGGGCCCCATGATGCTCTTGATATTCCAAGGAGGCCATATACTCTTGGCAGAGAACCTCATTTATTAAAATCCTGGTCCCTGCTCCTCCTGCAAGGGGCAGCATTCATATCATTAGTTGGAACTTTACGACATGGCCATTTGGGAGCCTCAAACATGGTGGCACCATAGGATCCAGCCTAAGACTGCAGGAGTTGGTGGGCACTGCTGGACAGCTGAGATGTACCTTTGCTCCTGGAGCCACTGTGGTCCTGGCCTCTTTCTGTCCCCCAGCACTCCTAGGATGGCTGTGTCTTAGCAGTGCTGGTGGCCTCTAAGCCCAGGGTATAAGCCACCTGGTACAGTTCACCCATCCTGACCACCAGGGTCCCTCACGGTGCCCAGACACCCGACAGTCCCTCATGAAAGCTCATTCCTGCCTCCATCTTCCCAGCCATCACCATGGCACAAAGCCTTCCCCCAGGGACCCAAGAACAGCAGCTCCCTTATTGTCACAGATCCCTCCTTGTTACTGGATGCCCTTCCAGACTCTCCTGGCCAGCACAAGGCCTCTGGTTCAGACACAGCCCCTCAGCTCTCCTGTATTCCTCTCACACAGATTTTGTCATCACCCACATCCGGGCACCTCTGCATTCAAGCTGACACTTGTCATTTTCCTGATAGCAACTTCAATTTCCACAAAGAGCCTGTGCCAACCAGACCACGAGCGACACCCTAGCTCACAGCCTCTCCTAGGCTAAACGGCCTTGTTGTGGCTCTCTGGACACAGCCATACACCAGCCTGGCTCCTGCCTGATCTATGACCTCTAGAGCCTCCCCATTCCTCAAGTGATGGTCCTTTAGAGCACCAGGAGCTCTGTACTCGGCTCTGCTGAGTTTGCATCCTCCCTTCTCTGCACCCAGATCAGGACCACACAGGCCTGGGGGCCAAGCCCCTTTCCTTCAGATTACTGTAGTCACTTCCCAGCTGGTGTTTCCTGGGGCTCTAGGGCCTTCCTGGAAGTTCGAGAAATTACATTTAACACAAGTTTCCTTTCCAGTTTCTTGGCTGTTTCCCTTGTTTCATTCAAATACAGCACAAGCCTGGTTTGGTGTCTGTCTCCAGCATTCCAGCTGACTATGAAGGGAGTGAGTGTTTGCCTCACAGACACTGAGGTCCTGGATCTTACCTGCCACTGAATCAGAACCGAGGATGTAGTGTGGGGCGTCGCGGAGACAGAACCGGGGGGCTCTCCTGGAACTGCAGCCCAGTGAAAAAAAAGCAGGATTAGAAAGGTTCAGTTGGTTAATGTCTTCCCCTATGAGTATGGGGTGCAATGAGCCTGTCCCCTTCCTTCCGTTCCTTGCCCTTCCTTTGTGTTCCCAGAAGGCCCCAGTCTGACTGATAGGAATCTGCTTTGTTCTCATAACTCAGTGTTGCTCCCATACCTGGGCCCACTGACTATCCTCCCCGAAGGGATCTTCCCAAAATTCTCCAGCCCAGAGTCTTAATCTCAGTGTGAAGCCCATCACTACCCCTCAGGTGTCAGGCACCTGAGTTCCTCCATTTCAGGCTATTGCCAAGAACTCTCAGAACTCTTAGGACACATCAGTCTGGAAACTCCATGCCACTCTTCAGCTATCTTTGACCCTGCCCCCACCTAAGACCCTACACCCCTGTCCCCATTACTCTGCCTGTGTCTCCTGACTCTCCTCAGGTCACCCTCTTCAACTTGCCATTAAGGTTATCTTGTCTGCTGAGCTTGCTTTCTGCTCTTTATTGTTCTAATACCCTCATGACTCAGTTTCCTAACACAGTCCTAACAAGAGTAGCTACCAGGTGATGCCAGTCTTTGCTGTTTCTGAGACATCCAGGGCTCTTCACAGAGGTGTGCTGAGGTCACTCACTCCAGCCATGATACCCTGGGAGCTCCCTACCTGAACCCTTCCTCTGTACTACCAGTCCTGTACTTCTTTGGGTGTCAAATGCCACTTTCACAGGCCTTTAGTCAGAGCTTTGTCAAGCTACAATGCTCTTGATCTGTAACTGTCAAGAAAAGGGAGGGGAGGCCACTGTTGGTGACTGGCCAGTCAATAAAGTAGAGGGTAATTGGCTCTGGCCCAGAAAGTGGCAGTGGTTCTGCTGCGGTCTTGGGTGGGGGACAAGGATGGTTTGACCTCTGCCCACGCTAAGCCCCTGCCCTCTGGTTTGTCATCTGCCAGGACCTAGAGGGTCTTCTTCCCCATGCTTTGCTGCTCCCTCCAAATCATGTGATCCTGTTGGGTACATAAAGTGACCTGTTACTCTGGGTCTCCCTGCCTGATGATTCAATAAATGCTCATTGAGCTGAGTATGATTGGGCCTGTCCCATATCCCCCTGTAAGTCCCTAAGCACTTGCTCTACTCTCTCCACTCACTATCCTTGTGTCTGTGGTCTGAGGTTCTCCTCTGAATCTGTCACTGTCTTTATCCCCAACACTCAGCTCTTTCTCACCTAGCTATCTCCCCTTCCCAGATTCTTATTGAGAATACCTCAAACCAGCAGACAAGACAGGAGTTTCCAAATGCCCCAAGCTGGCAAGCTGTCCTGGGGAGGGAAAAATCACCCTAATAAGAAAAATACTGAGGCAGGGGTGGTGGTATCTGCCTGTAATCTCAGCACTCTGGAGGTAGAGGCAGGAAGATTGCACATTTGAGGCCAGCCTGGGATACATAGGAGACTATGTCTAAAAAATAAAAACAACAAAAACAAGAGCTAGGAATGTAGCTCAGTGGGAGGGTGCTTGCCCTAGCATGTGCAAAGCCCTAGGTTCCATTCCCAAGCACTGCCAAGAAAGAAAAAGAAATGAAAATGTGGATCAGTGAACCTACAGCTCAAAGAATCTTCTAAGTCTAAGCAGGGAAAGTCTTGCCCATCAATCTCCAGCCCAGAGTCGGAGACAATGCAACCCAAACACAATGCAAATGGGCTGCAGAGGGAAACCGCAAGTCTAGGAGAAGGAAGATGATGCGATAGGTGCTTCAAAGGCCTTGATTTGAATATCAAAGGAGCAAGAAGGGCCTTGGGAGCCTTGAGAGCCCCTTGAATAGCTTTTCAGAAAGGGCCCATTCCCCTGGGTCAGAGCCAGCCTGTCAGATCTTGTGCTCACTTGCTTGTCTGAGATAACACAACAATAAAACCAGCTCGTTGTACGGCTTTCTTTGGGAGAATTACTGCAGAGTTGAATTGTGTTAAATGCAAGATTTAGATGAATGCATTCATAATCCTAAGAATGCATCCCCTCCCTGTGGTGATTTGGTGTGATGTTGGCTCCCACTTTAATTGGTCTTTTGGGTGCGGGAGCCTGCAGTGAAAAGCTGGGGTGTGCTTCCCCTTTGCCCTCTCACACACCCCCTCCTCTGCCCCCATGAACTCCTTGGAGCTGACTCAGTTCCCTGTGCCCAGCACAGTAGAGACACTGAGCCATGGGTCCCAAGTCCAGAGGGCCTTCCTCTGAGCCCTGCATGTAACAAGCAATTTAAAGGCTAATTTTACTGGGCGCATAAATTAAAAGCTGAACAAAATCTGGATAACTAGTCCCCTCCCCATCTACCATTTTGCATCTGTGCATCTGTGCCCGGTGATCTGAGCCATTCCCTGCTGCAGGCACTTCATAACTACCTAGGGCTCAAGGAAGACAGGATTCACCCATGAGCATCTTGTGACTAAAGGCAAACTGCCCCTCAGACAGGTCAGGTCACCTTCTTAGCACCTTAAAGAGAGCAGCCCAAAGCTGCAGACCACCTGCCAGGCCTCTGTGGAGCAGATGGCCGGCCAGGTAATGCCCCTATGACCTGGGACTGAGTTAACTTTTGCATACCTTTCTCTCCCTGTCTCCAATTCTCCCTATTCAACCTGGGGCCAATGTCTATACCCTGAAGACTGCTGAAGATGTACTGAAGTGCTATCTTCCCATGGCTGCCCTTCACCGTATTTCTTTATTTAGCATATGGGAATGAGTGGCCAGACCTAACGTGGGACTCCTAAAAGTGAGTTTCACGCAGTCTTCTTTCCTTCAGTATGGCTTCTCCTGCCCTCATAATTGCCTGGGATCCACAAACTGATAATAGTTGTGGTGAGACCTGAAGACACAAATTAGTTCTGAAGAGCAAGTCTGGTTCCCAGAGACTTGAAGACTTTCTTACCAGGGCCCCCAGCCCCTGCAAATTCAGCCCAGTGGGGAGTGTGGGATCTGTAGCACAAATGATCTCTGCATGGTGCTGAGAAGCTGACCAAGTTTTCCCTCAACCTGCTGCCTGGTCCCTTGGGGTTGGGGGTGGGGGGGCTTGGGTGGCTTATAGAATGTCTAGGTTCTATAAAGAGCATCATAGAAGATATGAGGTCATGGGGTGAGCCAGCAGAAGCTAGTCTATTTGAAAATGGTTCCACTAGTGCGTTAAATGGAAAAGCTAGAGCCCTGGGGTTGTCTTGGGGAATTATTATAAAGCACCGCTGGGTGAACTAAGCGCTCAGGCTTCGGGCTGGATCTGCGTGTTATACAATATCCATCCTTTTTTCTATCCCTCAAGTCAGGTTATCACTGCTCCACTCAACTGATGGAGTTGTCTCTGGGGCTTACTGTGCCCTGCAGGACCGGGTCGCTGACAATCACGATGGATCTTCAGGCCCAGTGCTGCTGAGGTAGTGCAAGTGGAAAATCCACCTGGCACGCTGAGGGGCTCTGCCCCCCATCACTTACCTGTGCTACTGTCAAAATGGAGCATCTTGTGAATAAGAAGAATGGGGGAACCTCTTCAACCCAGCTCCTGCTGACATTTATTTTTAACAACGCTATCAATTATTCAATTTCTGGGATGCTAATGGATGGTTGGGCTTTGGAAGCCAATCAAAGATAGTTCCATCCGTTCAGAAGCCCTGATTTACACCTGCAGGGTACGCAGGAGTGCTGGGCCTGTGTTACCGGCACATGATGTAAGTGGGGGTCTCCCTTTAGGGGCCTGTGTGCCTGCCTCACAGGAGAACCCAGATTGCTTTAGAGGGCCCAGGGCTGCTCACCGTCCTGCAGAGTGGTGACCGCTTCTGTCTCTGAACTGAAGTCACTGTCCCCAATGTCGTTGGTGGCTTTCAAGCGCAGCTTGTAGGAAGTGAAGGGCCTCAGCCTGTAGTGCAAAAAGTCCTATAACTACAGGGGAACTGCCACCCTTCCCAGCCCTGGGGTACTGCTCTAGGGAAAGCCCAGAGGAAGGGTGGATGTCTTCCCTCCCCTCCCCTCCTAGCTGGGCTCTGGTGAGAGTTGAGACAGGGCTGCAATGACAGACAGGGCCTTTAAGGAAACTTGGGTCTGTGAGGAGGAACAGCTGTGAACACCCTGGTCTTTCTTCATGCCCAACAAGAAGGTTCTGGCCATGATGTCCCACAGCCTCTGTGATGGGAGACCTTCCTGTTTAGAGTCTCTGCTCTCTGAGGGCTTTCTCGGGACTAACTAACAGATCAGTATTCCATGGATCAATCCAGAGCAAATGGAGTGTCTGTCTTCTGTGTTCTCCTCCCTAGGAGCTGCCCACTGGACTGGCCCAGGTCACTGCCCTGTGTCCACCTCACACTGGACCAAGCCCATAGTAAGCCCAACCCCATCTAGCCTGCAGGAGAGTGTGCAGGCTAGAGTCATTGTTGTGCCCATTCAAGGGTGAGAAAACAGAGGCTCTATCAGGGGTACTTCCCTCGTCCACTGCCCGAAAGTAGTGTGTGGCATGGGGTCTGGGGTAGGCAGGGGGAAAGCCTGTCTAGAAACAACATCTGCACATCACTTCACACAATAAGACTGTGTCCATGCCATCTATGTCAGCTTACAAAAGGGCAACTTAAAAGTTGCTTTCACTGGCCTTGTGACTGAACTAAACGCTGGATGCTCAGCTCATAGCCCCATTTTGCATCTGTGCTTGGTGATCTGAGCCATTCCCTGCTGCTGTCACTTCAGAACCATGGCGGGCTCCAGGAAGAGGATCCACAGAGAAGCATGTTGTGGTGGAATGCCAGCTGCCCCTCAGACAGACAGCATCACTTTCTTAGCATCTTGAAGAGAACAGTCTACCTGCCAGGGCTCCAGTGTCACAGGCTGACCTGATGGCCACCCCACCCCTGACTGTTGTAATTATGCACACCGTTCTCACCCCTGTCACCTTTTTCCTTATCTAATCAGAGGCCACTGTCTGTGCCTTTGTAGATGGCTGAAGATGTACTGAAGTGCTGTCTTCAAATGGCTGCCATGACATAAATCTCCTTTCTCTGCCCTTTACCATGTCTATTTGGTGATCTGGGGAGAGTGGCTAGGCTTAGTGTGGGACTCCTTGGGTCTAAAAACCTGGCTTCCAACGATCCCTAGAGAAATGCCCCAGTCCCTAAGACTTCAGGGCCACAAACTTCAGGCCCATTTCCACCTTCCCTGCCTGTCCTTTCTCCTTCTACTGAGAAGCCCCCCTTCCTCCCCACCCCCCGTACATCTGGGGTCTCCTGAGCCAGCTGTCATGCCATGACTTACACTGGGACTTGGGTCAAACTCTCTGTGCAGGCACCCCCCCCCCCAGCTGCCCTGACTGGTCAGTGACAAACACCCAGGCGGGCTCAGTATTTGGCTGGATATCTGTGGACATGGCTTGCTGGTGAGCAGGTAACAAAGGTGTAGCATTTCCCCTTTTGTCCCCCAGAAGCTCTGTGCCAGGCCATGGCTGACCATCACATCCCTCTCCCAGGGAGAGATTCAAGGTGATTTCAGATGCCAGAGTCCCAGGCCTCTTAGCCCGTACTGAGTTGTCCTTGCTCTTCATATAACAGGTGGTTTTGCTAAAAAGCACTGGCTCCTTGCTTGGGCCTATGAATAAACAAAAAGCAGGGGGAAAATGTGGCACATTTGCCTTGATTTTGTAGCTGTCTCTGCGCTGAGCCGTTCTCTGTGCAGAGGCTCTGCCGTCACCTTGGCACCCAGAAAGGATAGATCTGAGAACAACACACTTGCAGGGAGGAAGGGAGGGGCTGAACCTAAAAACCGGACCAGTAGAAATCCTCCTCAGGACAAGACCCCAGTCGGGCAATAATGACTTGTCTATCCCACCACTGACAACAGCCGTAATGACTTTTCTGGAAGCCCTCCCCAGAGAAGGGCTGATGCAGGAACACACCAGTGAGCAGGACTGTCTAATATGAATGCACTCACCTTTCCTCCCCCACCCTCAATTCTTTGTCTACTGAAACCTAAAGCTCATGTCCCGAAGATGACTGGAGATTGGGCTGAAAAATGTTTCCTCTGCCTCTCTTTGGGGTGTGTCTTGGCCACCTGATAGTTCTAATAGTTTTAATAGGATTTGACAGATAGGGGTGAGTAGCCAGATTTGATATGCGGAAGCCCAGGAATTTGGGCTGGGTCCTCCCACAGAATCCCATGGGAGCCCTGATGCTGAAGGAGCCCCGTGAGGGCAGAGCCTCACGAGGGCAGAGCCCCATGCTGTCCACCCTGTCAACAGCAGCCCCGCTGCTGACCTCCTGACACTGCCGAGCCGGGAAATCCATCTTCTCAAGAAAGGATTCTGCTTTTCAGGAAACCTGTACCATTTTTTGGAAACTGTGATCAGAAAATCTTCACCCCTGCTCTGGCACACTATCTTAATTAAGACAGATGACAGTGTTTCTCCACAAGCTTCAAGCACTCAGCTTAGATAGGCCTGGCTTCAGCCCAGAGGCAGGGACAGCCATCACCAGGAACCTGGCTGGCTTAATCCAGCTTAATGGAGACGTTGCTGAAGTCCTACCAGCGAGAATAATCTCTGTGGCAGGTTTCTGGGATCAGCCATTGTTTAGTTCAATCAGACACGTTCACTCTTCCTGCGTCCCCTGAGCCACTGTGGCATGACTTTGCGATAAAGGTGTGCTTGTCCCCAGTGACTTCCTAAGCCTTGCCCACTGGCTGCCTGCCTCCGCATGGCTGGCTGCTTCTCTTTCTCGTGTGTGGGAGGTGGTCTGCAGGAAGGTATACTGTGAAGTCAAACAGCACCCCCTCTTCTAGCTCCCAGCCCATCTTGGATAGAACACTGGGCCCTGGCTTCTTCATCTGGGCAGCCCCTTAGGAGGCTCTGGCCTGGAGGAAGTGCTCCTTTAACTCTAGCTGCCATAGTTGTCATTGTCAGCCATTGTCAGCATAAATCTAAGTGACCTCATGCTCTGTTCATTTAACTTCCCTCTCTCCATCCCTCCTTCCCTCCCCTTCTCTTCCTCCTTTTCTTTTGTCCTCTCTCTCTCCTTCCCTCCCCCCATCACTACCCCCTCTCTGTGAGGCTCAGAAGTGATCTCAGGTGCAAGGCCCTGAGCTAAGTGCCCTGACATTTGAGGCATTCCACCAGCCCTTTCTGCTTTCGCTATTTTCCCTATACAGTCTTCTGTTTTCTTCTAGGGTCCACCTCAGACTGTGCTCATCTTATGTATGCCTCCAGCAATTGGTATTACAGGTGTGAACCCCAGCACATGGCCCTGTAATTGTTTTATGGATGCCTTACAAGACTCAGTAACAGTGAGAATGAGCAACAAGCCTGCCTTGTTTATTGCTGTAGCCCCAGATAAGAAATGCAAATGAAACATCAGAGAGATTCCATCTCACCCCAATCAGAGTGGCTTTCATCAAGAAAACAAACAACAAATGCTGGTGAGGATGTGGAGGCCCAGGGGAAGGAGACCCTGACACAATGTTGATGGGAATGGAAATTAGTGCAGCCACTAATTTCAGTATGGATGTTCCTTAAAACAAAACAAACAAACAAAACTAAAAATAGAACTACCTACTATATGATTCTGCTACACCATCCTGGCCATAAATCCTAAAGAAGGAAAGTCAGCAAACAATAGAGCCATTTGCATATCCATGTTGATAGCATCACTGTTCATAAGGACCAAAAAATGGAATCAGCTTAGGTGTCCATCATCAGATAAGGAAAACATGGTCTATCTACACACAGTAGAGTATCAGCCAGAAAGAAGAATGGAATTATGTTATTTGTAGAAAAATGAATGGAACTAGAGATCACGATGTTAAGTGAGATAAAGCAGACTGAGAAAGAAAAATATTTCATGTTCTCTCTCATATGCAGAATCTTGTCCTTAAAAAGAAAAACATGGCTGGGGCTAGTAAATCAATCCTATAGTCCTAGCTACTTAAAAGTCTGAGATCTGAGAATCCAGGTTCAAAGCCAGCCCAGGCAGGAAAGTCCATGAGACTGTTATCTCCAATTAACCACCAGAAAAACAGAAGTGGTGCTGTGGCTCAATTGGTAGCGTGCTAGCCTTGAGCAAAGAGCTCAGGGACAGTGCCCAGGTCCCGAGTTCAAGCCCCGCAACTGACAAAAACAACAAAAACAAAAATAGGAGACCATGAATGTAAAACAGATGGTTTGGGGGTACTAGTGGGAGGTACTGGGGGGGATGAATGAAGAGGCTGAAGTACTTCATGCACATGTATGTGCAACATAGGATGAGACCTGTTGAGATTGCTTTAAGGGGGTAAATGGAGAACTAAGGGGGAGTCATAGAGTAGGGAAAGTTGGCCAGGGTTACAGTAAGCATGTACGGAAATATCACACTGAGACCTCTTTTGTACAGCTAGAATATACTAATAAGAAATGTACAAGCTGAGCATTGGTGGCTCAAGCCTGTAATGCTAGAGACTCAGGAGGCTGAGATCTGAGGATTGTGGTTTGAAGCCAGCCTGAGCAGAAATATCTGTGAGACTCTTACCTCCAACTAACCAGTTTAAAAAAGAAAAGGAAGAAAGGAAGAAAGAAAGTGGTAGATTGCCAGCCTTGAGTGAAAAAACGCTAAGGGATGGCATCTATGCTGTGAGTTCAAGCCCCAGGAAGGGCACACAAGCACGCAGCAGGTGCTCCAGCTTGCCATCACAGCTAGTGGGGGTGGTGTGGGATGTCACTGTCCCTAACCATTTAGGGTTATGCTGTGCACTCTTTAGAGATGCTCACTCTCTACCTGCCAGCCTGGGTGGTGCAGAGTAGCACCAGCTTGTGAGGGTCAACAGTGAGAAGCAAGGTCAGATGGCCGTGGGAACTTTCCCAGCTGGGGCGAATAGACTGGGTATGCAGGAGAGCAGAAGGCAACTTCCAGTAGCAGGATCACTCACTGCCTTCCCAGAGATGGATGAACTAGGCTGGGAGCCGTGGGGTAGGGGCACGGTCCCTCTGCAGAGGGAATGCTCTCGGCAGGGGGCCAAGCTTGCAATCTGAAAAGGGGGGATTGGCGTTCATTCCCAAAAGAGCAGCGACTTGTGGCCCAGAGGAGATAGTGACCTTGGGCACGGGCTAATGCAGCAGCTTCCTGCTTCCACTCAACCCATCTCTGCACAATAGACTCGCTGACTCCCCATCCCTCAGCACCCAGCCCACATATCCCTTCCCACCAGGACCCTCATATGCAGGCCAGGGTTTCCAGGATGAGCATCCCCCAGCATACTCCTTCACCCTTTCAAGTCCCTGAGAAGTCTGCTCTCCGCTCATGGTTCCAGGACAAGCACACCTCTGCTTGGGAATGGGTCCAGCAGAATTGAGATTCTGACTCTGCCATTGCTCCCCAGGGCAAGTCGTTTAATCTCCATGGATCTCACCTTGTTCATTTATAAAAATGGAGCTCACAGCACTTCCCAGGGCTCTGGAGATGGTTTAACCATCCAGCCTGCCCTTGGAGAGTCTAACAGATCTTGGCACATCTGGAAGGCTTTCTCTATCTCCTCGGCCCCTGGTGCTCTAGGTTTCTCCCATGGAGTCCACTGATGCTGTGGAGGAAGCAACCTCAGGTCCTTTGCACATTCCGTATGCCCCATCTCCCAAATTCCTATTATCCAAACTTAGAAATGGCACAGGGTCACGGACATGTTTGAGAACATACCTTGTACCAGAATTCTTCTAAATAGCTATTCAAATTTGGGGCTGAGCTATGCGCCTGAGCAGCTCCATGCACCTTGTCAGGGAGCAAGAAGATGACTTTCCTGATGGTTTCCTAATGGGCACACTGCCTCTCCTCACTGGGTCACTTGGGGTGGGTGCTGCTGTGCATGGGGCCTGGCCTGCGAACCTCTGTCTGGGCTTCTGTCCTTCTCTAGGTGCTGTTAAGGGAGCGGGCTCCAGAACCCCAGAGAATGAGGACCACACTGCCTTGCCTCTATTAATGCTGGGACAAGCTAGCTTGGCCATACACAGTAGTTTGTGGGCTATGAGGAGGTGTGTGCAAGTGGCCTGGGCATCTTCTGAGGCACTGCCCACCCTGCAGAGCCCCCACCATGGTGCCATAGGGAGAATGCCACAGGCCCATGTGGCCTCCCAGATGATCAGAGCCTGCTGAGCCACCTAGGTCGGCTCCCTTGCAAAGGAGCTGTGACAAGGTCACCTTGAGACCCACGTGAGCCCAGGGTGAAGACTTCTGCTTTGTTCCTCCACTTTAACCCATGCCTGGACAGCTCTGGGGGCGTCTCTCCCTTGCTGCACTCAGGGCTGGGGGCTGGGAGAACACAAAGAGAAGGAGCATCTCTCCAACCTGCAACCAGCCGCCCACCCTTTACCCCTTCTCCTGTTTCAAGTACAGGCCTCTGGGGGGACCAGGATGTCAGAACCCATACATCCAGGCTTAATTTCCTTCTCCCCGCCTTCCCCAGCACCCAGACCTGGGGTGTGCAGACAGCACATGCCTGGAAGGAACTCCTCTTAGGACCATGGACACTGGGATCCCAGGTGTGGAGGCACTCAATAGGAACAGGGACACCCCCCCCGATGGGCTGGAGAAACTTGGGACTGGGGTACAGATCCTCGGGGCAAGGAGGGTCCGGCTTCCCTCAGTACCTTTCGACAGCGCAGGCCATGGCCTCATGGCTGATGGAGGAGGAGTAGGTCTGCCACTCTCCCCTGGGCAGCTCTCGCACCTGCACGGTGAAGTAGCGGATGGGGGAGGCTCCATCACTGCCCGGGACCCACTGGAGCCGCAGGCTGCGTGCTGTCACCTCGGCCTGTGGTACCAGCAGCTCTCTGGGGGGTGCCGGCCTCTCTGCAAGGAAAGAACAGACCAGGCCACGCCATGTGAGATGCTATGTCCTGCAGCTGCTTCCTGCAGTTGGCCCATGAACTGGCGGCATGGATCAGGCACTGAGGGGTATGGCAGCGGATTGTGGATGTGCCCAGGATAGGCCAGACTAGAGACAGCTGCTGGCTCCCACAGCAGAGCCAAACAGGTGAACACCTATATGCCATCCTACCACAAAGGTTGGTATCTGGGTGATAGCAAAGCTAGGGCTCTTCCAAGCACCCCTACTGTACCCCTTTAATTAAGTAATTAATTATTTTGTTGGTCATGGGGCTTGAACTCAGGGCTTGGGTGCTATCCCGCAGCTCTTCAGCTCAAGGCGAGCGAGCGCTCTACCGCTTGAGTCACAGCGCCACTTCTGGTTTTCTAGTGCTTTATCTGAGATAAGAGTCTCATGGACTTTCCTGCTTGGGCTGGCTTTGAACCGTGATCCTCAGATCTCAGCCTCCTGAGTAGCTAGGATTACAGGCGTGAGCCACTGGTGCCCGGCCTGTATCCCTTTATATACTCTCTTTGATTTGATGTTTGCTTAGTCTATGAGGATCACTGAATTTTCTTCCTTCTTGCAGGTAACCTGACTCTCAACACACATAATAGGTGTCTCTTCTCTTCTTGGATCTCTTGGGGGGTAGGGACAGGTGTGGGGTGGTGATGCAGGACTCAGGGCTAACCTGTGCCCCGGAGATGTCAACAGAGAAACCTCATAGAGCGAGTGCTGTTGTTTATCATGAGGATTACTGATTCTGATTAAAACATGTGGTATATAATAAAGTGGTCATTGATGTGGGTTCCACAGTGTATGGACTTCACAGGGTGTGACTTCACCAGCAGTCCTGGCCTCCTGTGCGCATGCCAGTCACTTGATCTGTCCTGGCCCAGGACTGTTAACAGGACATAGTGGTCAGTGATGGACTGCTGACCAGGGTGGCTGAGCTTACACAGAACTATCGGTAGATATCAGATTTGGGAAGGGAAGCAGGCTTTCCAGTGTGGGCATGGCAATACCTGTGTCTGCTTGTAGGACACCTGCCTTCAGCTTGGCCTCCATGAACTCAGTACTATGGTTTGGATATGAAGTGCCCCCGACTGGAAGGCTTGGTTCCCAGAGGGTGGTGCTTTGGGGAAGTCATTGGATCATATGGTTGATAATCACTTTCATGAGTTCACAATGATTTCACAGCTGACTGAGCAGCTAGGAGGTAGGACCTGATTGGAGGAAGTAGGCCACAGGGGGCAGCCCTTGAGGGGTAGATAGATCTTGTCAACAGGCACTTCCTGTTCCCCCTCTACTTCCTGGCTGCCATGAGGTGAGCAGCTCTGCTTTATCATGCCCTCCTGTTGCCATGATGGATTGACATAAGCCACAAAGTAGACCTTTCTTCCTTTATGGTGGTTTTCTTAAGCATTTTGTCACAGCCAAGAAAGGCTAAGAGATTGGTAGCTTGACATGGGTGACATGGGAGCAGCAGCCCTGTGGAAGTCATTGCTGCTGTCCCTCAGGGACCTGGCCAAGGCAGGTGCTGCCTGGAGGGCCTCTGGAAGGAACCAAGTCAAAAAGATGGGGTGGAACAAAGCAGTTAAGTGGGAAGAACAAGTAGACCATGTGGGGACCTTAGGAAGCAGACGAGGAGTCTGGCTTAGTGTGGACCAGTTAGCAAAGCAGGTGAGCAGGTCTCTGGACTGGCAGGAACCTGCTGGTCTTGGGAGGGTCTGTGAGGCATGGCCTCCTACATCAGCAGGGCACAGGTTTGGTGTGGAAACAGTGCAGTTGCTTGTTCTGCTCAGCAGAGATGAGTGAGGTCATATGGACCCAGTAGAGCCTGGCAGATGTGGCAGGAGGTGGGGATGAGTGCTTGATCTTTCCCGAGCAGCTTCCTAGTCACTTTGGGGGTGTCAGGGTCCTCATCAACACAAACCCAGAACACTTTTGTGAAAGCTGGGGAAGGGAGTTGAGGCAGAAGTGCCTACCAGGGTGACCAGAGCACCAAGAGGGCTCACGCCAGCTTCCTTCCTCACCTCCTTCATTGGATTTAAGGTCAGAATTGTCTTCCAAGTGGCAAGTTTAGTTCTTCACTCATTGCAATGCTCTACACTAGATTAAAAAGATTCTGGCAGTACTGAGGTTTGAACTCAGGGCCCCACACCTGTTAGAGAAGTGCTCTATCACCTGAGCCAGGTCCCTAACTCCTTTTAGATTTTGTTATTTTTCAGGTAGGTTCTTGTATTTTTGCCCAAGCTGACTTGGGGCCATGATCCTCCTACCTCTGCCTCTGACATAGCTGAGATTATAGGCATGTACCACCATACCCGGCTGTATTCTACAGCTTGTAATAATGTAGCATCGGTTCCACATTTTGCTTCTGGAGAGTCTTGACAACAACAGGGAGGGCCAGACAGTGGCCCTGGACACCAGAGGCACAGCACACAGAGGGAAAGAAACTGGATCAAAGCAGCTCCCAACCACCGCTTCAAGCATTTCTCATCAGCCTGCTGGAAGCCCTCCTGTCCTAGTTTCCCCTGGGCCTCTGGATGTGGCCATAACCTTGGCACCAGCAGGTTGAGTCAGCAGCTGAGCTGAGGCCTTGCAGTGCATTCCAGGGGCTGCGGTGGCAGGTTCCAGGGTGAAGCCCAAGGCCGTGGACAGGAACTAGCAGACAGGAGCCTGCCACACCTTCACTTGGGTCAGCTCCATAGCTATGTTAACTGGCAAATCAGGCATCAGGCTCTCCGGGCTGGGATGAGAGCAAACCTGTATGCTGAGTGCCAGATCCTGAGCCTGGAGCTGGGCAGGTATTCACAAAGACCAGTTACTAGGAAAACACTGACTATGTACCTGTCCACTGGGGACACAGAACTGCACATAAGAGAGAAGGTGCCTGCCTTCTAGGAGCTTCCACTTACTGAAGATTCTCTGTGCAACACTGGCCCAGTTCCATGACTTCTCTGAGCTGTATTTCAAGCCTTTAAAGCGGGGTGCTCACCTATCTGAGAGGGTAGGCAGATGATTAGAGGTTATGCTAGATGGGTGTGATAGGATACTGCACCTGGTTCCATGTCTGGCTCCTTGGAATCCTGCATCTCTGAAGTGAAGGTCCCATCCTCCTGGGATGGGACTATGGCCCCACTATGGCGGCAACCACTCAAGCCACCCCTCCTCCCATCCCCCCCCCACACCCCCCCCCCCCCCCCCCCCCCCCCCAGAGGTAGGCCTACCTCTCTTCTCGGTGGTGATGACCGTGGCCTCCAGCGGCTCCCCCCAGCCCTGCCTCGTCTTGGCAGACAGCCTAAAGATGTACGCAGACTCTGGGGCCAGCTCCGTGGCTGTGAACTGTCGCACTGTGGCGCCCACCTCCACGGTGGTAAATGTGTGCGGGCTGCTGCTGGCCAGGCGGTAGGCAATCTGGTACCCTGCAGGTGGGACCCAGGCAGCGATGGAAAGGAGAAGAGAGGCAGGGAGAGGAGAGGAGAGTCTGCTTAGCCATTTGTTCCTTCACTTGACTGCAAACCTGAACCCTTCCCATACCATAATGACTTGTGGGATTAGAAACCCAAACATGGTCATCTGTTTCTTCTCTGTTTCTAGAGGTGGCTGTGGTAGGAATTGAAAGGGTGGTCACTTCCCATCCATGTTGATGAATGGAACTTGTTTCACTCTTCATCTTTCATCGGAACAGGATGTGAAAAGTTTCATCTCTCCTGAGCACGCTGTATGCTGAGAGAATGCATAGGAACCAGGGCTCCAGGTTGCTTTTGTGTGTGTGTGTGTGAATCTGCAGTGAACCCTGGCTGTGGCTGCTCTGCACCTCCACCACCCTTCCATGATGAAGCCCCTCTCCTCAGGCAGGTAGGAGAGGGAAGTTCTTTAAAATTTCCCAGCCTGCAGCAAGCAGGAAGGCCAGACTTCCCTTATGCATTCTCCTACTTTTGGCCTTCCCAGGTTGCCTGGTCTCCCCCCTCCCCAGAGTATAGATCCCTCCTCACCCAAGACCACGCTGAGCTCTTAGGAGGCTCCAATTTAAATAATTATCTCCTTCTTGTCAGTCAATTGAGGAGAGGCCAGCTGGGTCTAAATGTCTCTCCTAGTATCTAGGTTGTGTGTGTGTGTGTGTACACATATTAGGGCTTGAATTTGGGGCTTGGGCACTGTCCCTTAGTTGTTTTGCTCAAGGATAGATAGCTCTCCATTATTTGAGCCACATCTCAGTTTCTGGCTTTTTGCTGGCTAATTGGAGTTAAGAGTCTCATCAACTTTTCCTGCCCAGACTGGCTTAGGTTTGTGATTCTCAGACCTCCAGCCTCCTCAGTACCTAGGATTACAGGCTGAACCTATAATCTGGTACCTGGCTTCTTCTAGACTCTTGACAATTAAGGGTTCAAACTCCTCCAGACAGGCAGTCCCATGCCCACCCACCAGCATCTGGAGAGGCCTGGCCAGCGTTCCAGACCCAGCCTGGAACACTGGTGCCAGGCGCTGCCTCTTCTGAGCTCAGAGACCACATATGGTCCATCTGTTGATTAAAACCAGAACAGATAGGGTGCTGTGACTTCCAACAAAAATTAATGGCAGCCCAACTGTTCTTGGTAAACTGGGCAGACACAGCTGGGAAATGAAATCCAGTAGAGCGGACCTGGTCCAGTGCTGGGCAGCCTGTGAGTGGTAGCCACCTGCAGCAATGGAGAGCCGCGTCCCTCCTGATGGCCTGGCTCATGCCACACAGCTTGTCAGGTGTCCTGGCCTCAGCTCAGCGAGGTGCCTCGGCTTCCCTGGCTGTTCCTTATAGCTGGCCCTGAACTCCAGGGTGCCTAATTACACTTGGTGCTATTTCCCTGACCTTGCAGCAAGCCCTCTCCTGTCCCTGGCTCACAGGACGCTGACCTTAGACCCCTGAATTGCCATCACTGCTGCTCCTGCCCAACTGGCCTTAGGTAAGAAACTGGTACCTTCTGAGTTGCCGACCTTCTGACTTTCTGACAAAAGACTGTACCTAGAAATGGCCAGCCAGTCCTCCCAGGCTGACTGTTTCTCTGTTCTCCCCATGCTCAGTTATGATTGCAGGGGGGTCTTTAGTTTGGGGGCCCCAGGATGCAGAGTATTCTGAAATGAGGAAGATAATGTCACCGCAGTAGCTGCTGTGCACCCACTGCATGCGAGAACCCCCGGCCGTCTTCTGCACCCCTGCCACACAGTGGGGGTGGCCCGAAGTGGCCAAGGAAGTGGGTGTGGGCTTGGAGGGTTGCATGCCTACCCACACCTATCTTCCATCACAGTCTCTTGTTGGCTCTTGCTTGGTCTTGACCCTGCAACTTTGTTCCTCCCATAAGTGGGGGGGGGCGGGGGGGATCCTAACAGAAGCAGTGGTATGTGGAGGCTGTGGCATTAGAGCAGGCATGGCTGGATGGGAATCGCTCTGTCAACTCCCCATACTGTGATGTGACCCATGGCTAAGTTAAGTGAGATGGAGACCACAGATGACATCACAGGCCACTGGGGCCCAGCTACAGGCACAGCACTCCTCACCTTCCATGTGATCATAAAACAGTGACACTAGCTGCTCTCCACTTGCTACCATTGGCAGAGGCCCTCTCCCCAGGAGTCCGGGTATCCTGGAGGTCTCTTCTGGTTATGCTCATAGTTATTATTTCATTCTGAGGCTCCCCAGTTCTCCCACACAGTGTTGCTGCCACGGTGACCCCAAGTTGGGATGGTGACTATCGCTGTAGTAATGGAGGGACACAAGGAGACTTGACCTCCTGGTGTGGCCCCACCCTGGAGGAGCTGGGTAGAAGGTTTACCCTCCCTCTCCCAGGCTGGAACAACACTCAACTTTGCCAGACAGATTGACTTAGCCACATCGGGCCTGCTCCATTGGGCCTAGCCCAGAGCAGCCGACTCTAGTAACCATAATTGCAGCTACTTGGAGGCAGATGCAGGAGAATCTTAAGTTTGAGGCCAGCCAGCGCCTCTATCTCAAAACACAAACAGAGGACTGGGGTGTGGCTCAAGTGGAACAGTGATTGCCTATTTATGAAAGAAAGGTCCTAAAGAATTTCCCAGGAAGTCTATTATCTTCTAAGGAGTTCCTGCTTCTTGAGGGGAGGCAGGAAGGAAAATGAAGGTCTGCTTACTCGGTCTGCTTTCTGGGCATCTTTCTGGGGGTGATCTAAGGGGGCACAGGAAGAGCCTTAGGAAGGTGCTCCACTCTTCCCTGCAAACCCAGCCACCAGCCTCCTGCCCCGTGACTTGCTTCTCTTATCAGTATCTCTCTGGGTACCTTTGCTTGACTGGATGCAGGTTTTTCCTTCTCAGGCTCTGGAAGGTCTATCGTCATCTGTTTTTGGCCCTTCCAGTTCGTACCCTGAGAGTTAGAGCCATTTACTCAGTGTCGGGCTCCTTCAGACAGTGTCTAATGGCTCCTTCCCAGGAATGCGTCTGGAATGACCAAGTTCCCATCTTCTTTCAAGTGCCTTTTCTGTCACACAATTTTGGCTTCTCATATTACTGCTTTTATTTCTCCTCACATTTGCCTTTATGCATTTAAATACACTCATATTCTCTATTATCTGGGTTTTAAACTCTTGAATTGTATGTTTTGGGACTGGCCTACTGCTATGTGATGGAAATGGGGGTTTTCTGGGTGCCCTCCTCTGGCTGTCGTGAGTCACGTGATGGTTCTCACGTTGCTATGGTGGGAAGCATGTGCCCTTTATGGTTCAATTGGGTTTGGGGTGCTCTCACACAGGTGAGACCAAGACTGGGAACTGGGAGTGTCTGTGCTAGGGCAGGGGACACCTGGAAGTGAGGTTTCTGCTGAGCCCAGCCAGTGTCACACTTCTGTCTGTCCCGCCAGTCCTGCAGAGCTGGCTGTGATTATGCTACTCACTAGAAGACCACACCGCCTCTCAGCTAGCAGGCCAAGCTAACGAAGTATTATTTACTCTGAGGAGCAGAACATGATTACAGATGCAATTTGGTTATTGTTTAATCTTTATTATTTGATCAGGTTTTTAAAAAAAATATCTGCTGAGATTCTCCAGTTGCTAAAGGTAATAATCTGGTGAAGCTCAGATTCTATGGAAAGGCATGTCTTTGTGAATTGCAGGAATGGAGATGAGGTGGGAATTATTGTAGCCAGATCAGACTTCTCCTTTTCTTCTCCCCTCCTTTTCTTTCTTCCTTTTTTTTCTCCTCCAAACTGAGGATGAAACACAGGATGTTCTGCTACTTAGTGATTCCTTCAGTTTTTATTTTATTATTATTACTTTTTGGACAAGGTACTGTTAACTTCGCCTGGGCTGGCTTTGAATTCATGATCTTCTGCTATTCACCTCTTGAGTATCTGAGATTATAGGCATGCATTACTACCTGATTCTCATGGGACTGATTTATTTTTTTGGGGTACTAGGATTTGAACTCTGGCTTTGCAGGCATTCTACCACCTTACTTAGACACCCCCCCCCCGCTCCCCGCAGCCCTTTTTACTTCAGTTATTTTTGGAATAGGATCTCTGCTTGGCCATCCTAGACTGCAGCCCTTCTACTTTATGCTTCTTATGTAGCTGAGATGACAGGTGCATACCTCCCTGCCCACCTAGTGGTTGAGCTGGGGGCTAGGGTGTCAATAATGTTAGTCTAGCCTTGAACCACCATCCTTCTACTCCTTGCCTCCCAAGTAGCTAAGATTATAAGTGTGAGTTATCATGCCTGGCTGGGAACACTTCATTTTCTTATGTACAGGGTTTTAAAACTTATCATCTACATGTGGGGTTTCCATTTTACTCATCTACACAGAATATCAACAATTTTTCCTTAAGCTGAGAGCTAGTGGCTCATGCCTGAAATACCAGTTACTGAGGAGGCTGAGATATGAGGATCACAGTTCCAGCCTGGGCAGGAAAGTCTGTGAGGTTCTTATCTCCAATAAAGAAAAAAGCCAGTGGGCTGGGAAGGTGGCTCAGTGGTAGAGTGCTTGTCTTGCATACTTGAGGCCCTGGGTCCGATTCCTCAGCACCACATAAGTAGAAAAAAAAAGCCGGAAGTGGCGCTGTGGCTCAAGTGGTAGAGTGCTATCCTTGAGCTGAAGAGCTGAGAGACAGTGCCCAGGCCAGAGTTCAGACTCCACGACCGGACCAACCCCCCCAAAAAAAGAAAAAAGCCAGAAGTGGTGATATGGCTCAAGTGATACAGCCCTAGCCTTGCACAAAAGAAGCTCAGGGACAGCACCCAAACCCTGAGTCTAGTCCCAGGACCTGCAAGCGTATGCATGCTTGTACACACACACACACACACACACACACACACACACACACACACACACACACAATTTTCCCTTCAGAAGCTCATGTTTTAATGGTGGCTTAGCACAGTCAAACTTCTCTATCAGTGGATTTTGCATTCTTTATTCAACAAAC